ATCGACTATTTAGTCGATAGCCTCATTGAATCGGCTATCTAGCCATATATTTGGAACTGTTTAGTGCAACACCGACATGTTCCACCTTAAATTACTGATAAGATTTTTTCTCCTTATCAATTGCAGGTCAAATTGACTGGCACATCGTTGGATTTTCAGAATCAGTTGGTTCTGTGTTGAAGCCAAGTAGATATCTGATCTCGTTTCACTCAAATCTTTCGGCTTGTTGTGTGTTAATCACATCCTCATATTTTTTTGTGTAACACCTAGCCCACTCGCGTCCTCTTCTTTTCAGTCCCCACCCGCGTGACGATGCCCTCTCCCGTCCTCGCGACCGTGACTTTCCCTTCCTTCCACCTCGACTTCCCTTCCTCCACCGAGATGTAAAATTCCAGCCCCTACTTAGACTAAGAACTAAACAAATGAGTTGAACTTTGTCGGGGTGAGACACCTAAAACAAGGTACATCGCACAAAAAGTGCCAGAGATTTGACATAATGACATTCAAAGAATATGTGTTAAATAGTTTCTACTTTACTACAAAAGCAACAAAAAATACTATTCGACAAGCTATACTATATTCCCCTTAATCAAGACGGCCCCTCTTTTAAATTATCACATGAATATTTTGTCTTGATATGTTTTTAAATGCTAAATTTAACGTGCAATTATTAACAAGAAAGCTATACACCGGCTAGATTGTGAATTTGGCATCTTTTTTGTAAACTCCACACAAAAGATCCAAACTGAGATTAATAAAAAGGCGTGGCTAGCACTCAGACGTTCAGACACTAGCCTTCGTCCGGACGCCTGTGCCTGCCCTGTCTGTTGCGCCCGCCCCGCATACCTGATGAGTCTGATTGCATGCTGCACATGCCGCCGCCTGCCTTACTTGTCCCGCATGCGGCTGCAACTGTGCGCCTGCCCGCCTGCCCCACATGGTGCTGCACGTACGCATGCAAGACCGTGCCTGATGCTACGCATTTCACTTCATTCCGTGCTGCGCGCCCGTGCATGCAGGTGGGGACCACCCCATGCTCGTGCCCCCGCATGTTGTTGCGTCCCTCGCTTTGCTTCTGTGCTGCGCGTCATGGATGTGCATGCAGGTGGGGACCAGATCTACATTTCCAACATCAGATCTACTTTTACAACATCCAGATGAAACACATGCAACATTCAGATGAAACATACATCTAAAAGCATGAAACATACCGCGCATGCTAATGAAAATACTTGCAATATGAAGCACTTGCTGTAACATAAGTCTGAAACAGGTGAAACATGCATGGTTCCCCAAGCGCCGCATGCACCCCGAACTGGCCGCACACCTCCCATGCGCTGCCTCGCAAAAAGAACGGATGCGGGCCTGCCTGACTGTAGTTGCACATCCCTTATTTTTTTCTTGGGCATCACACCGGTGGGGTCGGTCTGTCCGGACGTCCTAAACTAAGCATTTCTGTTAATAAAATCCACGTAGGCAACAATATTATACCAATCCATGAATTTGTTTGCGTCTAATGCTCTTCTGAAGAGGACAATAAAAGGGTTCTTACTGAGCACTTATGCTATTGCTACATGTTTTTTCAAACAATATTAAACAAAGAAGGGTACTAAAACTTTAAAGCAAGGTGTTTACCCATTTATAATTGCCCCATGTTTAGAAATTTATCCTTCACCCCAAAAAGGTTTGACAAAAAATGAGAGTCTCCTTTAGCTTAGGGGCCGTTTGGATTGTAGGATTTTGGTAGAAAATTCACACAAAACTGAAACAGGGGAAAGGAAAGCAAGTATGCTGTTTGCAACACGGGAAAACATCCTATCCTTTCCTATGGAATACTGTAGCATCTTCAACATTTTTAAAGTACTGGAAAACTCCACTTTGTGCTCTGGTTTTTCTTCTCTTCGGAAGCCCGAGGCGTCCAGCGTGCTAGCACGGACACACTTGTAGCTCATGGTAGCAGGTCCCACCAATAAAAATAAGAATAAACATAATCAATCACACTTTCCCTTTTACAAAGATTTGCCATTATGTGTTACTAGGTGAATACTTACTAGGTGAATACCCCGCGTATTGCCGCGGGACTTTTTAAAAGTGATATCTTATGAATGACAAATAAATTGATCATGCAAGAAGCACAAACATGCACAAAAGTGAAATAAAAATATGGTATTGTTGTACCATCCAACAAAGTAGTAGACGTGAAGATCAATGGCAATTAATTTCTCGAAAGGACAAAATGTGGTGTAAGCTAATTATAATTCTAAAATAATGTTTGAACAGGATTGATATGTAAAATGATGTAATTAAAAGGAACACCATAGTCTTCTTGATGTGCCGTAACATGTGAGGGCATGGTACTTCTCCATATGCTAACTTTGGTCCTGCGAAACAATAGTTGATAAATTAGTCATCAAGCAGAAGAGTAGATTGATCGATCTCACACCTTTAGAATTCAGAAACCAATTTGAAAAAAGAAGCATAAGTTCTGAGCACTTACCTGTGGTTTGTCTCCATTTCCTATTGGCGTGTGGAGCACTATATATAGAGGGAGAGCAAGAAAACCAAATGAGGTACAATGGCCAACGTGAGAGGAGGAAATGGAGGAGTGGAGAGGCTATTTATCAACGTAATTAGGATGGAATTGCATGTTGCATGCATGTAGTAGTGGAATGAGAAATGATCAAACGTAAAGCACTAAAAGGCATGATGGCCATGAGTGTGAATGGATGGAGGAATGGAGAGGCTATTTATGAAGGTGATTAGAATGAAAATTATTTAACCAAGGTCATTGTGCATTCAGAAGTGGAATGGGAAAGGGTCATGATGTACAACATGCTTGAGTTAATGACACATGGATGGACAGATTCGATTTGAATGGCAAGGTGGGATACCAAGGTGGAGGTAGATGCATGGGCCAGGAGGGGAACGATGACGTGGAGGGCTGTGGAATGAGAAAAATAGGCTAGTGGGGTTTTGCTTTATAAGAGTTTAAGATAAATGTCTTTTAACGGTCATATGCTTTGTAACTCCTGTGTTACAAATTCCTTTGTTCCAAACATCTCCTCCTATTTCTTTCCTACGTTTTCCCTTTCCTTAGTTTTGTGACTACACTCACCTTTCTTTCTTGAGTTTTTTCTATTCCTATGTTTTCCATTCCTTTGTTCCAAACATGCCCTTAGGGTATTTATTTCTTGCTTACCTAGGAGCTTTATTAACTAGAATAGAACAAAGTTACAATCATGTATGGTGCCTCAGCCAAATCACAATATGAACATTGCTTTAGAGCAACTCTAGGAGCTTATAGTAAATATAAACTCTATTTGAGTATTTTGGGAAAAGAAAAAAATACTCCTCCAAAAACTTGGTAAAACAACTTCTTAAAAAAATAAGAAGATGATAATTTTCCCTCCAACTTGTAAGTTCCTCCCTGCCGTGATCAGCCCTATGCCGATGAACTCCTTGGACGCACCTTGCACTGGTAAGTGGCAACCTCTTCCGTGGCCGCACCACACCTTGGCAAAGCGAGTGAGCCCAGTATCGGTTGTGGAGTCGAGGGCGGCAGGCCATAGAATTTATTTGATTTATTTAAAGTTGGATCAATCCCAAATAATAAATCCAAACATTCAATAAAAATAGATAATTTATTATTATTGATATGAGCATCATATAATAAAAATCATTTGTCCTGTTGCAACTCACCGGTATTTTTGCTGGTCAAAGAAAATATTCCAAATTCACTAGAAAAATGTTTAGCTTGAGATACGTGTGGCTGCTATATTTACACAGTGACTATTTCAGTGGCGAACCTAGAGCAAATTGATTTGGGGTGCCCCACTTAATCATAACTATAGTGACCCATATGATGTTCAAAGAAAATAGCATACCTAATGCGCAATTACCATATTTTAACATTAAAATTTGACTTCTAGCAATAACGATGAAATTTTGGTCGAAACATAAGGTAGAGGTAAATGATAGTAACACTCACCATTTAACAAAAAGAAAGACCACATTGAGCACTTTAGCAAAATATGACATCCAGTCCAGGAGACCAGGATCAAGATTCCACTAGCCTAGAAGGAAAGATAATAGATAGGTCAATTATTTAGCAAAACAATTATCTATTAAAAGTAGATGTGTTGCATTACCTACCAGAGATCATATTTACACTCTTTTCCTTCCAGGGTCATGAAACTTCAAATCATTCCAGAATAAACCTCTCGGCTAGTCTCCAATATTTAAAACAAGAAAATTATATTTGCAAGCATAATCAAATTGCAGATCCGCACTATTATAAATGTACATATAAAAAGAGAGAAACCCCAGCTAATACTAACCCTAAACCATTAAACCTGTAGGCTGCAATTTCAATTTGAACACTATGAATCGGATGTGATGCCTTGCCTTTTATTTTGGACCAGAAGAGAGAGAGCCGGAGAGGGGCGAGGCCGTGAGGGACTGAGGGTCGCTGGCGGGTTCTTCCGCCGGGCGCCGCCTGCTAGTTGCGCTGTCCGATGCTCTGCTCGGCTACACGGCTACTCCCTGCGTAGAGCCGCAGAGATGGAAGGGGAAGGGATGTCAGCGTTGCCGCTCGCCGGCTCGCGCGCGCCACGTTGCCAGCGCCATCGGCGTTCAGGCGAAAAAATGCAGACTCGCGGGCATACGTGGCTTCGCGCTAGCGTCGCGGCCTCCTGGGAGCCTCCGTGCCTTCTCCTGTAAGGAGCCTGCGAGTGCGAGGTGGGCTTGGTCAGCACTCAGCTGGGCCTCAATTTCTCCAAGGTGCTGCTTGCTGGCTAGATGGCTTGGTGGGGCGGGGTGCCTCGTTTTGGGCCAGAGGGAAATGCTGATAGTAACAATGCATTTTTGTTTTCGGCCTGGGTGCCAAGGCACCCGGTGGGCTTAACTGGGCTTCGCCCACTATTTATAGCAATCATCAATACTGAATTTCCAATCAACATGGCCAGCCCAGGAGAAGCTCGATCTCCCCAAAATTTCAGGAGATGGCGAAGCCGAAGCCGAAGAGGCCCGCGCCCCCGCGGCGGGGGGCAGGCGGTCTCTGGCGACCCGTCGCGTTGGGCGGCCTGCCGCTGGCTGCCGCGGCGTACGTGGGCGTCGACTACCTGCGGCATCTGTCCCCCGTTTGGCACGGGCGGCTGCGGCCGGCGCTCTGGGCAGCGCTGGCGCTCGCCACCGCCGCCCGCGCGCCGTTCTACCGGCGCTGGGACGCCGAGGTCCGCGCCGCCCCGCTGTTCTTCGCTGCCATAGCGTTCATGGTCGCGGCGCTACTTTGCGAGGCCATCTCCGTCCGCTTCGTCAGCACCGTCCTCGGCCTCCAGTGGCACCGGTCAGTTCCTTTCTCGTGACTGATGCAATGCAAAACCGATCGACCAAATATTTGAACATTTTACAATTTTCCTACACAAATGTGTGATTACATCCATGGTGACCTTTTCGTTGTCTTTTAACCAGACTGTAGTTTTTTTTTAAGTCTAGGGGGGGGGGGTTGGGGGGTGGGGCGGGGGAGCGTCCCACACCTGATTGGTTGATTATCAGTAGCTCTGAAATAGCCAAATAAGTTACAAAAGCGTTCGCTGTTCACTTGAATCGGCTAGAATCTGCAGTATTTTTCTCCCACAACCAAACAGCTTCAGCCGGCTGTCAGCCGAAACAGAATACCCAATGTGAGGTATGCCAGGCTGCTGAGGAATCGGCTGCACACATAATTTTTGAGTGCAACAATGCAAGGCAGTTTTGGAATGCACTTGGAATTCAGACGGAAGCGAACTGGCCCATTGAAGCGCTTAAGGAGATCCAGGCACCGAGTCACATTCCGGCAAAATACTTCACAACCTTCTTGCTGCTGGGCGGCTGGCACATATGGAAAAGAAGAAATAACAATATATTTAGGGATGAAAGAACAACCCTTACTGCTGCTTTAGCTGCATGCAAGACAGAGGCTTATTTATGGGGTGCAAGGCTGCCAAGAGACGACAGGGCAATAGCAGCCTACTGGTGTTTTGTAATAAGTAACGCAATGTAAACTGTAGTTCTCACTACATGCATTGAATCATAGTTATTTTTATCGAAAATTTTGAAGAAGTATGGCTTAGGAAATAGCACGTGAAAATTTGGCATTTTGGACGTTAATTGTTATGGCAGTGAAATCCACTGCCTTATACATAGGTGCTATGACAGCAGTTGATGGTATACATACATAGGTGCAGACTTAAGTCTAGTTTCTTAATCTTGTGTCTTAAAATTTGTATTAACTTGTGCCTTGTGGTAAAGTATAGTCTAAGTAGTAAGGACTATGTGTCTGTATTCAACGGCTAGGCTGTACTCATTCATTCTGTTTTCATCATCTAGTGATTTTGTATAGATTATTGTTTGTTGGGGTTGAAACTTGAATGTTTTCTTTAATTAGCATGATACATTAAATCTTCACATGGTTATTTTTTTTTACTTTGGCTATTAGTAGTTTAATGTTTCCTCCCCAACCTACAGTGGTGGAGCCAGAAACTTTTAGTAATCCGAGCAATTCTCGTTATGCAAAAATGTTTACTTTGACAAATACAGCGGTCCTCTTTAAAGAGAAATTTTCCTCTGCACTTTATCGACGAGCCTAGGTGGTCGCCTGGGGTCACCAGGCAACCTGGAATCATGACATTATCTAATATACTAATGCTGTTAGACTTTCACAGAGCAATTTTTGTCTTTTCATCATCTTCCCCTGCTTAGTCTACATATTTCAATGCAATCAATATTCTGCTCATCTGAAGCACTGGAACTATTCACTATGAAAAGAGCTATACTAATAGACACTCTTATCAACAGATCTACTGCTCCTCTTCCTGACACTGGCCAGTGGATACTTCTAGCATTGAGTGGGAAACTTCCCCAAACAGTGGTTGATCTACTGAAAGCTCGCATCATCACTCTTCATCATTACTTGATGTTGTTTATCATGCTGGCGTTTTCGGCATTGTTTGACCGCATCAAAGGTCCTGGACTCGGGATAGGCTCAAGGTATATGTTCACTATGGCAGTTGGACATTTGCTCCGGACCATAACATTTCTTGCTACGATTCTTCCATCTGCTCGACCTTGGTGTGCCGAAGCTCGATATCAAATACCTGACCATCCACATCCTTGGGCACAGAAATATTATGCTCCTTATGCTTCGGATCCAAACATGATCTGGAGGGTCATGAAAGAGGATACCCCATACGGTCAGTACATTCAGCTTATTATCCTTATTGGTAACTGTATAATATAGCTGCTTTGGTAGACCAGTGTGAGCTCATTTTCTTTTCATCCTTCCTGATTGTAGCTACTCTTCAAGATTACCCTGATGAGTATAAACCTGACTGGGGATTGATGAGTTTCTTAGTAGACATTTTGAGGCCAAGCACTGGAGAGGGGCCCTCATGGTATCATTTGCTGAGGAAATCAAGTGGTAGTTGTAATGATCTTATCTATAGTGGACATATGTTTGTTGCTGTCCTAACTGCTATGGCATGGGCGGTATGCGATGTTTTCTTCTTCTCAACTTTGGATTGTTCATGTCACGTCTTCAAATTACCCTTCCAATGTCATGCACTCCTGCTGCAACTGAAATCAGCTTTAACTGGCCAGAGTCATCCTAATTTAGATATGTTGCGCCATGGCCAAAACAAAATTGATATATAAAGTTGTATTTGACTCCTTGCAATCTGATGTGTTCTGCAATGTCCTATATGCTCCGTGGCAATTACTGTTCAATCAACCATTACATTTACAATTCGTTACCTCAGAAACAAACCTATAGAGTGGTTTGATATGTATAATAAATGCTAAGTTACGTTGAAGACTTAACAAGAGCCCCCTTTTTATTGTCTTGTTTAATTTACGTGTTCATATGTTGCTCTTGACAAATATCATTTTAACACCTTAATGCATTATTCGTCCACAATTCCTCACAGGAAGCATATGGGGGATGGAGCTCTGTTCTGATATGGTTCCTCGTCATCCACAGCGCTCAGAGGGAGGTGCGGGATCGCCATCATTACAGTGTTGACTGCATTGTAGCAATCTACATCGGGATCCTCTTGTGGAGGATGACTGGGTCCCTCTGGTCTGCAATGGAAACCAATCGATCCAATCCAGAAGGCTTTCCAAGCTTGATGAGGTGCAGAAGAGACTATTCCGCGCTGCAAAGGATTCTGACGTCTTTGAAATAAGGAACCTGCTAAATGAAGTTGAGCTGGCTGGTCAAGAAAAGAAGGGCTTTTCACAGCGCGTTCTCTTCTCCTTTGCTGCAGCTCTAATTGTTTTGACCGTCTTGTTTGTTCTCCTGGCATTCACGCTAACCAATGACGGATGATCTTTCTGATGTCCCACCGATTTTGATATTCACATTCTATTTAGAAGACTCAGTGAGTTGAAAGTATGGATTTTAGGTTGAAAGGAATGGCGTTCCCTGGTTTATGTATGGGGAAAATATTTCACATAGAATCACCAAGTACCAAGTCCTTTTGACAGAGAAAGCTACTTACAGAAAACATATTATTAGCTGAATTGTGTAGATGAACTCCTTTTCAATAGAAACAGCTACTCCATGATAAATATTGTCAGCTGAGCTGTAGATGCATATGCAGCTCTTTTTTTCAAAAGCATTCTGTCAGTTGATATGTAGGATAACTGCCGCATATTTTAATTTTGTGAGCATATCAGGTGATATCATTTTTTTTTTTGAGAAGTGATATCATGTTTTACAAGTAGTTCTCCTACATGGAAATGGTCTGCAGTTCAGTTTGGTTTATTGCCCTCCAATTTCAGTTACCGTAGAGATGGTTGCAGGCTGTTCTGCTGTATAGCATCAGTTCTACATTTTGACTTGCTAATTTGTTTTTTCTAGAATTTCCACGTGTTGGCTGAGGCAGGTTTTATACAGCCCAACTTGTCGATGTGTTCAAGGCTCGCATTCAGGACACCGGAACCTTGCGAAAGTATAAAAAAATGAAATTGACGGCCCTTATGCTGGCAACTCTGGTACAGATTTATCAGATGCTTATAGAGACCATTGCAACATTTTTGTCTCTTGGAAAATAGATATTCAAATATTCGAAATTCAGTTCTTTAGCACGTCCAATCTAATTCCCCCTTTTAATATAATGCCTCTTACACATGCTATGTCCTATGAGTTATCCTGGTCAGAGTTAATAATTCCCCCAAAAACAACTGTGATCTGATAAGGTGATTTGCAGCAGGGCGAAGCAAGGAGAAATGGCTGCTGGGGTCGGTACTTACAGTACCAGGGGCGAAGCTACATTGAGCTTGCCTGGTGCCAATGCACCATGGTAAGGGAAAAAAATTCCACTATGATCCTCTTAGTAGTGTACCACCATAAATTTATAGCAGGCTTCGCCCAACAGTATGAATTGCTGATTTATAGGTTCCGATAATATAATACCATGCATAACTTGACATTGATAAAATAACAACCACATATTATGACAAAATAAGTTTTCACAACAGTAGTTACCCCTTACATTTTCTCTCTACGACTATGATCCTCCATCTTATGAAAGCGAATTATCACATGTTTCATTGGAATTGTGGTTAAAAAACTAAAGCAGATAGCAGCTATGCGCATAATGTAGAAGTCACTACTAGATCGATACCTGGCTTCTTGCTGGATGGAATGAAAGAGAACGTTCTTCACTTCATTGCTTGAACGCAAGTTACAGACTGCTTTGTGAAAATCTGATTTCGGATTGTATAGCTGGAAAACAATAAAAACCCTGAGACCTCAATGTTCAGATGATTGTTAATTTAATTACAAATTGCATAATTGGGTATTTGCTATGTGGGGTACCTGTACGGATGTACCTCATCTAGATTGAGAGTAGACAGCAGGAGAACACAAGATCGTTAGACTGAGAACGAACTGAGCCATGAGGAGCGGCTGCTGAGCGCCGGCCGTCGGGCAAGGGCAACGCCTGCCAGGAAGATTTGGGATGCGTCGGGTACGAAGCTAAGCGATGTTCGGCCTTCTGGGCTATCAAGTACTCTCCGTATCTGCAACATGTTAGTATTCACCGACTCACGTATGTGGAGTTGTGGGCGTATGGGATTGATGGATCGGATGGGCTGAGCAGAAGCAGATCGATGGACTTTGGACTGTTGCTGTTGGGCTGTCACTGCCGGCCCACTGGGTCTCACGTAAATTTTGCTGGGGTCCAAGCCGGTCAAAATTACTCTGTATAAGGTGAAACGGTAAAGTCGTCGGTGTCGCCAGACCCCCGACGCGTCAACTAGCTCCGCCACTGATTTGCAGCCTTAGCTCTGAAGGAAACCGACGAAATGGACATCTGATGTGTACCTTTCCTTCCCGCTCCGTCTTCATTCAGACCGATGCAACGTGGGTTCACAATGAAGGATCAAGACTTCTTCAATTGATAGCGTACGTGTTTCAGTTTTCCAATTTCCAATCCGCGTAGGGGCGAAGAACCAATGATCTTGACCTCTATTAAGCCTAAGGTGTTTCAGCTTTCGGTTGTTGGACTTTTGAACTCGCACGTCCCGTACTCAAAATTTTCATAGACTTTGGATATGACTGTATATTATATGGAGCCTCCGCTGATGAATTACAGTAGGGAGGATCAATGAGCTGATTAGAATTCATAACTACTCCCTCCATTCTAAATTACAATTCATTCCAACTTTACTGGAGAGTCAAAACATTTCAAGTTTGACCAAACCTACAGAGAGATGATTACAAAGATTTATGACATTGAATAGGCATTACTATGAAAATATAATTAATAAGGAATCTAATGATACTCATTTGGTATTATAAATGTCATTATTTTATTATATAAATTTGATCAAATTGAAATGGTTTTACTCTCAAAAAAATTAGAATAACTTATAATTTAGAAGTAATGATTTTCAGTAGACACAAATGATTTTCAGGGACGCCTGCTAGACCTGCTAGTACATTTGAGTTTTTAAAACTTGGGTAACTGCTGATAATATCTATGCAACGCGCAACACGATTACGACGTCTAATTTGTCCTTGGTTAGTGGATCATTATCATTAAGAAGAATAATCGCCAAGTGGAGACGGCGGTATTTGACCGGCTTGTGGTGTTGTCGTTTGGTCCTATAAATATCTGTGCATATTACTCGGTTCATATCCATCGCCACCCAGCAGAAACTAAACTTGCATTGATCGCTCACCAGTTGATCTCTCTAGCTAGCTAGCTACCTAGCTTACTTGTAGATCGATCGGCAATGGCTGATGAGGAGAAGAAGCACCACCACCACCTGTTCCACCGCCACAAGGACGGCGAGGAGGAGACCAGCACAGGCGAGGTGGACTACGAGAAGAAGGAGAAGCAGCACAAGCACCTGGAGCAGCTCGGCGGGCTCGGCGCCATCGCCACCGGCGCATACGCAATTGTAAGCGGCGTCTCTTGTTGATATTACTCATCTTATTTACTCGAGCAGGCATGCTTATCTATGGTGTGTATGTGTGTGCGTGTTGGATCGATCGAGCAGCACGAGAAGCACAAGGCGAAGAAGGACCCCGAGAACGCGCACGGGCACAAGGTGAAGGAGGAGGTGGCGGCGGTGGCGGCCCTGGGCGCGGCCGGGTTCGCGTTCCACGAGCATCACCAGAAGAAGGACGCCAAGAAGCAGGGCCAGAGCTGAGCTAGGCAAGGCAGCTGCCTCGATCCTGCAGTGATATATATCGTCGCGTCTGCCGCTTATATATTGTGGCGTTAATTACTTTAAATTGCGTCGTCACTTTTGTTGCTTGCCAGTGATGATTACTTATACACGGTCCGTGTGTCAGGGCACGAACTGGCACTAGTTTCCTGCGTGCCAGGCAGTATCATATATTGTGCCCGATCTGTATCCAGTGTTTGAGCCCACCAAAATAATGAAGCGCCTGTTTACTCCGCTGCACCCAGCTATATCCATCAGTCTACGTGTTACGTTGGATATATGTGCAGTAACGTTTTCATTTCGTGGCGCCCTTGATGCAAACTAAACGCAGAAATATCTCAGTCTCTACCAAACGGTGGCGCGGGGGCGCAGGCGCCGGCGCCGGCGGTGGAGTCGGAGGACGTTGGAGGACCAAGGCGCCACTTGTCATGAACTAGAGGGGAAAGGGAAGAACATGGACAGGGTAAAGTTCAGAAAGGGCGAGGAACAGAGGGATTCAGAGTTTTCAGTTGGAAAGATAGTTTTTTTTAAGCTTATATAGCTGCAACACTCAACTGGGCCGAGCCCCTAAGCCTAAGAGGCCAAGCCCAGAACCCGCTAACACACACCGCCTTAACAGAGCATTGGAACGCTACAAGCCCGCTCAGCCACTTCTGACGCTCCCCTAAATTAAGAAAAAAACCACTTCTGACGCTGCGCACCGGGCTTCTTCATGACACCACTGCCGCGTTTACTGCTCCAAAGTCCAAACGCCGATCGTCTTGGAATTTGGAACACCGAGACGTTGTGTGCAGTAGGTTATGACCATCTAATAAGGATGTCTTGTCTCAAAAAAATCTAATAAAGAATTCAAAAAAATCTAATATGGATGTCATTCTTTTTCCACGAACATGCACATTATATGTATTTCCATTAAGAGGCATTGGATGTGCATGTACTTGTCTTAATCCGCATGCGTTAAAGTGAAGTATTGTGGAATTTAACTAAGATCCATGCCAATCTACTCCAACAATGGATTGAAGTAGATACATGTGCATCAAAACAAGGCCAGATGGTAGCAAGTTTTTACATAGTGTGTCCAAAGGCGAGCGAGCTGCCCACTCTTGGACACCCCAACACAATGAGCGAGCTGTCATATATTTTTCATCTATCTATTATAAGATATTCTGGATTACTCAACTCTATTTATGTGTGCCTACCTTTCAAAACCCACCCATGCATGCCTTTTAAACCATCATGTACAAAAATGACTCATGATTAGTAGCCGAAATCGGTAATGTGCATGCATGTCTTTTTAAACTATGTGTTACTATAAAATGAAGCAATTTGACAACATGACAAGTTATTCTTTTGCCATGCTCCTTATTTGGTCCTGAAATTCTTTGGATACCTTGTATTTTAGGATGGAGTATACAACAGTGTTAAAAGCGGCCTCCACGTTCATCAAGAGAGTTTAGAAATTACGAGATCAATCGAAAAAAAGAATATACACCATTAGATTTTATGACGATCTAATGGTTGAGAAATATATAGAGTATTCATGCCAAATACAAGGCCTAGAAACAACAAGAATCATCAGAAAAAATAAAAGAATATCATTGTTGAGTTTTATGACGATATAGCAACCGAGAATAAATAGAGTATCTATATCAAATACAATTAATTAATAAATAACTCAACTCCATTCATATCCAATATGGCAAGAAAAACTATTATAATCTAATCTAGTAATCAATGAAAGAAATACATGTGGACCCAACTCAAAACTCATTTAGATGGCAATCCAATTAAATGGTAATTGGAGGATGCCAAGAAACAAATTCCGGCAACACTTGCTCAAGTTGAAAGTAGAAGGGAAAAAGGTACTAAGAATAGTAAAGAATTTATTTTGAGCCTTTGTATTATGTGCTCCTCGATAATGTTGATGAATGTATCAAACATCAAGTGACAACACTAAAGGCCGCCGAGCGCCGGCCACAACGAACATGATTTTGGTTGCATCTTAAGGCAATAACGGGTGAACAATAAAAATTGAGCAGACAAATATATACATCAAACGACAAGGAATAATCCATTTAAACTCTAGGCTCATGAAAGGAATCTTTGGATGGCTAGAGGGAGGTTTGAATAGCCTAATTTTAAATTTTCTACAAAGCACAACACTAGGTGAAACCGTTAGCACCCTAGGATGACAAGCCTAATATCACTACTCTATGAATTGATCAAAGCAAGAAAAACACACAAGATTAAAGAGCTCGATACCACACATGAGCAATAACACAAGACATATCCATGCGGTTCAGTGACTTCTCGGTCACCTGTATATGTCCACGTTGAGGCAAGCTCAAGAATCACCATCTTTCTATCAAGACTCAACCCCGCAAGGTTGCCTCCTCCACTTTGAGGGCTTGGTCTCTATGCCGACTAGATCACAAGATGCTTCTCCGAGCCCCGATTCTAATAAGTGTTGCTCTTTGCCAACTTTGGTGAGGATGAGCACAAGAGCCTCTCACAATCACCTCATGAGAACCACACAATCTTCACTTGAGTACTTCAACAGAGTCACCGTTGCTCCATGTTGTCTAGGTGGTGACAACCATCAAGAGTAACAAGAACACAACAAACACGATCACCTAGTGCCACAAGCTATTATCTCTCAAAGCAAATACACTGGATCACTCCAATCTCACCAAGAATGCAATCACTAGCAAGCAAATGCGAGTGAAGGTGTTTCTTGAGCTCTAACTGGTGTGTGTATAAGCAAAGGAGGCCAAGAGCTCTTACATGTGTCTGGCCACACACTTTATTTATAGCCCCTCTCAAGAAACTAGCTGTTATCAACTGAAAACACTTTCCGTGGGACAACCGTAGAGCTCCGGTGGGGTCACCGGAGATCCCCAACGATCACTGACATATGCCAAAATTAGCCATTGCAGGCACTCTAAACTCCGTAGTATTACTCTGGTGGCCCTGGAGATTCCCGGTGACCTCAAAGGCCTTCTACAGAACTAAGTTTTGACAAACCTTAAGCTTTAGTTGGTCATCGAAGTCCTTCGTTAAAGGGCTTCGGTGCCCCTCCATACCTTTCCTAGAACCGTTCTTAGCTAGGGCTAAAGCTTTGGTGTTGCTCTCGGTGCGCCACACCGAGAGAGTTCCGGTGTTGTTGTTTGACAACTCTTGCATGGCCCTCTGAGCACTTGTGCTCGTCAGAACTAAAGTTTGGTGCCCACCTCTATGACGGCATCGATAGTTAGGGTTTGCCTCAACTGAAAACACAGTGCTTGGCCGGTGGGTGAGCTCCGGTGGCTATAAAAATAGCTTGCCGAGCTATTTCTCTCAAATTGTTTCATGGGCTTGTGCAAATATGCATCGCCTAGTACAATCAAATCTAATGTAGTGGGTAACGTTGTATTATATTGGGCCAGCTTTGAGTATCGTGCAAGGCTGCATTAGAGGCTTTGCATGCTAGATAACTGCAATGAACAAATTAGATACAGACTAATGCAGATAACCAATTAAACCTAAGCCACGTTATTTACGTTGCTGTTATCCAACAAAAAACACGATAGGAAGCCATGACAGGGGAGATGTTCCCAGGAAAATGAAGGTGCAGAGCGGAGGTCCAATCTTACCATACCGGGTCCTCCGCCACGGGAGGAAGTAAACAAAGTTGTGCGATCATTGGGTTCATCATTGTATAATCGCATCATCAGTAATTCAGTATCAGCCCTTGTTTAGTTCCACCTCAATTTCCAAAAATTCTTTAGTCACATCGATGAAAGCATTAAATGTACGAAAAGAAAAACTAAGCGGTTTGGTGGGAAATTACGAGACGAATGTTTTGAGCCTAATTAGTCCATCTTTAAACACTATTTGTCAAATAAAAACGAACGTGCTACAGTAGTTCCAAAATCCAAATTCCTACAACTAAACACAGCCTCAGTATGTATAGAAACATACACCAGCACGATGACACCGTGATTGAGTCCTTCCCAACGCGCGCCTCGTCCGTGCCCGCATGGCCGCATGGCCTTGGTTTGGTTGGCTCCTCGGGAAAGGAGTCGAGGGCATGTTATAATCCGTCTTTTTCAGCTTATTTTTTTAGTTGGAATAGTGTTTTTTTAACAATAAATTAGACAAAACAATATTTTGATTTATTTTTTTCAGCGAAACAAACGGGGGCATGGCGCATTTTTCACGGCGAGATTCGTATGCGATGACGGGCGCGACGAATCCAATCCCGGCGGGTAAACCAAGTTTCATGGCGCTGGCGGAGAGGAGCTGGGTGCTCGTGGGGGCAGCAAGACAAACGAATGAAGCTTGAGCGTCCAGCCCGGAGCTGGGTGAATATGACGACGGCCTGACCTCTGAACAGGGCAGGGCTGCATCTGGCTATTTTCTGGGGACACCGAGCTGAGATTCTCTCGGCGGCAGGCGGAACGGGAAAAAGGTCGTCGGTGAGTGGTGGTGGGGAACCAAAGCAAGTGCGTGCGCGCCCGTGCCAGCCATTCATGTCACAATTATCGGGCCCAAAAAGGCGCCCTCCACGCCCTCGATACCCACGCCGCGTCCCCCGTCGGAATCCCTGCCGGGTCCCAACACCGAGCAAATTCAAAGGCCTTCTTCCCCTCCGGAGCCGTGACCACTGACCAAGTGACCAGAAACCCCAAGCTGCACTGAGCAGTGAGCACGGTTCCACTGCCTCCTCTCTGTCCGTGTCTAGTACTGTAAGTAGTAACCTCTCGCTTAATCACCTGCTAAGGCCGGGGGCGATTAGACGCAAATCAGCATGAAGATCAGCGCAGATCTGACCATGGATTAACATAACCCTTTACCCCATCATCATGGTGGCCAAAAAGTAGCAAATACTCCTGCTCGGCTTTGTTGTTGTTGTTACCTAGCGGCAGGCTTTGCTTTGTGTTCACCTAGCTCTTGACCTCTTGTGCTCTGGAGTGGAGGGTGGTGCAGTCGTGCTGGTGCCCGTTGTGCTTGTGTTTTGGGCTTTGGCTTTTAGGTGCCCTCTGCAGTCTGTACTCTGCCCTGCACCTGCACTCAGGTCACCCAACCCAACCCACCAGTGTCCAGTCACTGCACTGCTCGGCTCGGCTGCTCCCCACCACCGTGTGCCCCGCTTCCTTCTTCAACAACGCCCTCAAAGGCCACCGCTCCACTAGCTTCACCGCTCTCATTTCCAAGGCACCGACTCAAGAACACACCAGCATTGCAGCTTGCAGGAGCTGAAGCAAAGAGTGGTAGAGAGTGACACGAGAGCTGATCGAGGTGGGAAGAAGAAACGATGGGCGATGTGACGACGACGCTGCTCTGCAACGCCGTGCCCGTGCGCGCGCGGTGCTCCTGCACGCTCCTCGCGCTGCTGCTCTGCTTCCAGCTCCTGCACACATCGTCGCAGGCCTTCAAGGTACGTAGACATGCACTGCACTGCACGCCCATTGTTCGCTGCACTCGCAGCAGCTACGCTACATTGCACGAGTAAGCCTAACGATGTGTACGTTTCAGCTGCGCGGAGGCGTGGGCGGCGGCTACGAGGAGAAGGTCCCGCTGGCCGTCATCGTGCCGGACCCGTCGCCGGAGCTGTCGGGACTGTCTCCGTCCCCACTCGCCGCGCCGCCGCCGGTCCACGGCGGCGGCGGCGACGACATGCGGCCCAGGCTGCCGACGGAGCGGTCGTGGCGCCGGGGCAGGGGAGAGGTTCGGCGCGCCGCGCACCCGCCGGAGGCCACGGCCGAGCGCGAGGCGCCCGCGGCGGCGTCGGCTGGCCCCGCCAGAGCCCCTACCACCGCCGGGGCGCCGGCGCCGGACTCCGGTAGCGGCCGCGGCACGGCGTTCATCAGTAGCAGCCCCGCCGTGGCGGTCCCGCGCGGCGTCACGGACACGGCCACCATCCTGCCCATGCCCGCGCCCGGAGAAAAGCGGCAGGTGGGTAGTGGTGTACGTAGTGCGATCTCACGGCGCGGCCCATTGCACTGCACTGCATGGTTCCATACTTCCATCATGCATCACAGTTTTACATACACTGCCTTGATTACTTTTCCTTCTCCAGTTTAGTAGTAACTTCTTTTTCTCAACAGTAACTTTTAAAAGTTGTAGTATTGGAGAACAAAGAAAAAAAACCCTATCACCTCATGCATTTTAACACTGTCACTCTCTGTCTGACTTGTTTCTTGATGACAATTTTGTGGTTTTCAGGAGGTTGGAGCCGCCAGTTCGGTTGAAGCCGCCTGTGTAATGCCGCTGCTGCTGGGGCTTATGGTGATGATGGCGTCTTTTGGGATTTAAGCTCAGCCTAGATGCACGCGGTTTAAAAGTAGCAGGCTAGCAGCAAAGAGATAAAAGCTTGTTTCTTTCTGTGCCGGCGGCCGCTCCCTGACCCCTCTTCTAATCCCCTGTAAACAAAGCCCGTCAAGTCTTCCTTTTTATCAGCCACGCACGTCGTTCCTGTCATCTTTTTGAGAATACTGACACCAGCAGCCTAGCTTATTCATTTCACTTATAAATCGTATTTTTTTTAACCAATGAATAATATTTTTCTCCCATAACAAATCAGCTGTCATGATTTATCGTCAAACGAACAGAGCTAATGGCATGGCACAGAAGTGCACATGCCATGTGCACGAAAAGCATTGCATGGTATATGCAGTGATACTGACTCGAAACGTCGAGGGTACATATGCAACAAGGCAACGATAACACACAAATGACACGGATACAGATCCTTCGTCCAGTGCGCACTGACCAGTGTCCAGTGACGTGTCGAGATGCGGCGCGCGTGATGTGTCCTGTTCCACCACCATCGAACGTTGCCTAATCCACCGACACGACACCAGGCCCCTTGCTAGCGGCTCCAAGCCTCCAACGGCACTAGCGTCAGGATGCGCCATTAGCCCCGGCGATGCTTGTCCAAGCTTATCGATGGAGATGAGGTCAGAGCTGACCAGAAATAATGGACAAGATGGGGCTTTTATCTAGCCGGAGTTGGGAAAGTGGCCGAAGAGCGAGGGAGGAATTTTTTAAGAAAAGAAATCAAATATAACTTCTTCGGTCGACGTTGGGACATACGACCTGGGTTGCTTATAGCCTTGTACGTCCTTCTGCTAGGGAGGACCGAGCCCAGTGCAAACACACCGTGACCTTCCCAGCGTGCCCGGTTCATGGCGCGTCATCGTAAAAATCTTAGATTCTCGATCTTAACTCAAGGATACGTAAATCTTTTATGTATTCGACGAAGATATAACTTCTTCGGGACAAAATAAAGTGGCGAGCGTAAATACGCGACAAGCTGCACAATGCAGAGGGCACAGCCACCCCAAATAAATCAGGCCGCGTGAGAGCGTGACACTCCTGGTCTCGTGCCTTCACTCGGCAGGCGCCATCGCCGACAATTTATTTAATGGATGGATCCACCGACCAGGCCTAGCTACGACGGGTAACAGGAAGAGGAACTGTTCGTTAGGACTTAGAGCGTCCGCAGTGCGGAGAAGCGGGACGCTCCTGTCCTAGGTCGCACAAATAACATAACTTGTTCTGATGTTCAGCTCGCAGTGTATCGAAACGGACTCGGCTCCATATCCTGGTGTTTAGCACCGTGGTGATCTATTTTTTTATTGAAAAGGGGCGGGGTCGATAGCTCGAAGCTGATCCTCTATCGAAACCACTCCACAATGTTACGTACCTGGTGCTATAGCTGCATTTAATGCATCGAACCGGCTACGAAACCCACACTGCAGACGCTCTTATAGGGCGAGCATATAAGCGGACTGTTGTGCAACATGGGAGGGCAGGCTGAGCCGCTGAGGCTGGCGTTCAACGCTCTGCTACATACGTGGAGGACAGGATGAGGATGGCCCCTCAAGCCGGCTTCGCCCTTCACCGCCCTTTTGGCTCTGCTACATAAGTTGAGAATCCAGCTTAATTTCGGCCCGGCTTCGCCCTTCAAGTTGAGAATCTAATTAAGCTGAATTTCACCTGACGCAGAGTGTGCCTAAAACTTTTGGCCGAAATCCAGTCAGTCTTGCAGAGTGTGCATTGACAAGCCTATATAGGTGGAGTCTAGCAAAAAATCGCTTTTGCTGTTGGAATTGTTCTAGTCCCTACATGTGTTTTTATGACGTCATCAGTGGACTATTTTAGGCTAGGGTTAATTGTTAGCTTAGCTATTAGTCCCCCGATGAGTTAGAAGTTCGAACTTATCAGCCTAACTTATCAGCTATGGTATAATATTTTTCTCTCACAATAAATTAGCGAACCGTACTTTTCAGACTGGCTTTTCAGTGAAACGAACATGACCAAGTAGCTAGTTAGTAATTATCCCTGCGTATATCTGCCTACATCGATGAAGTAGAGATAAAGCTACCCTTTTTTCTGTAAACAAAGCTTTGCCGTCTTCCTTTTATTTAGCCATGCTCTTTTCTTCTTCTGTCTCCCTTTCTGATTAACACCACGCAAAGCAGAGAGTAAAGAGAAGTTGCTGCTTTCATGCACGTCCGCGTGCTCAGGACAAAGCGAATGCATTGCAATGCGGGGTACATCCATCCATCAGCTCAACTCATCTCTAGGTTTGGCTTTCACCTATCATTCTTGACTTGATTGATTTCAACTGCGGCATGTCCTTCCCTTTCAAAAAAAAAAAAAAAAAGCTGTATGTCCTTTATTTTCCCATTTATCATGTAGTGATTGCAGTGGAAACTAATTCAATGTTCACCATCAAGGTTGCATCCAGACATTGCAGTATCCAGTGCATCCTGCAAATGCCGACCCAATGACATCGTGTGCACAATGATGTTGCTCCGACAGGTAAATCCCTGCATTGATTTTGTAGACCACAAATGTTCTTGTCATCTCTACAAAACGTTCCACCCTTCCAGTTTCTTCCTCTGTAATCACTAATCACAGCAACATATTTTGATGGTTCGTCCACTTATACTACTAACAACAGATAGCTTATCTGAAAATGGTTGCACAAGAACAGTGACTGCTGGGATACCTTTGTGACCATGCCATGATTGTAGCTTTAGCACCGTGGCTCTTGTGAAATCTCATGCGCTCGGCAAAATGGTGTTCACTTATGATATCACAGTTTAGAACAAAGAAAGGTTCACCAGATCCACCCACAAGCTTATCCTGTCAAGTGCAAGAGCTCCAGCAGTCCCTAGGGGCTCTGTCTCCTGTGAGCATGTGATTTGACACCAAGATTGTCCTCAGAGTCCTTCAATAAGTTATACATATCCTGAATGAAAAGGTAGCAACCCTTATCGTCTGAAAACTCAAACTGCCAACTGCAATACTGAAAGATCCTTATATTCTTCACCTCTGGACTTTAATTGATAGCTAGAACAATTTCTGTCACCCCAACATGCTTCAAAGCTTCGATCTGCTCAATTTGTTTAAGAAAAAAGAAGTGGTCCGGATATTTTTCCACATCGATTTGAAGAATCACTCATTTGGAGACAAACAATGCCTACTTTGAGCACAAGTCATGAGTTCAATGGTTCATTTAGTTGGTAGGTACAGCACCAGCCTTACAAACTTGGATTTAAATTAATTAAAGACTTGTTCTTTATTTTTGACAGGACTTTGAGAGAAAAATATATTTGAAAGGATAATGTAGTAGAACATGTAAAAGCATGGGAGTACATTAACCAAAAAAAAATACCCCAAAGTCTACACTGAGTTACAAGTCTGAAGAATATACAGACGCTATGGAAATGACATGGATATGGTCATATGCTGTTTTAAAAAGGAAACATCATGACTTCATCAATAACAACAATACAATACTTCTCATAGAAAAAGTTGTCTTAAGAGTTCTTTCTGGTTTTCTGTATAGAAGAAATCTTTGACGTTTTGATGATTGAAAGAAAGATGTGATGAATCACATATAATATACTAGTATATGAATTCTAATCCTGTAATATTGAATTAGATGGGCAGTACACCTGATGGAGGATTATTGGTTTGTTAGCAAAATTCACTAGTGGCTTTGGGATATTGTACGTCAAAGGAAGAAGGGGAACCAAGCCCTCTTTGCACAAAATCAATCACTGTAGAATTTTGTTAAGGGCAAGTATACTGACTACTATTTCTAGCTTAGTTCAGTCGCAAGCCTGACTTGCAAAACTGGTACTTCCTCTGTTCAAATTATAAGTCGCTTTGACTTTTTTGGTTCATCCATTTTGCTATATATCTAGACATATTATTTATCTAGATGCATAGCTAAATGGATGTAGCAAAAAAAGTCAAAGCGACTTATAATTTGGAACGGATGGAGTATTTAGCACAACACCAGCAAGCCCAGGCCTCTGCTGTTTGGCTCAACTCTCACCGATAGAATCCATGCCTCAAGGGCCCTGGAAGTCCATGGCTCAAGAGCAACTGAGTCATTGTAGCTGAATCGAAAAGCAACCAGTTCTCTCGGCAGTGATCCATGCAGAAAGTTAAACTCAGATCAGTTGTACTCAGAGGCAGGGAAAATAAGATAATTTAAACTGGAAACATCTAAGATCAGTTTTGCAGGGAACAATGTGTGTACACAAATATCAAAAGAACAACAGACAATATTAGTATTCCATTCTTCAAATAGCTTGCAAGGAAACATATTCTAATCTTCCAGCTGAGCTTCTAAATTCAGTTTCTCAGGGAGCTCTCCCAACCAGCAGGGAGTGTACGGGAAAGACGCTGATACATATTTATGGTGGAAATGGAGATCCCAGTCTATGTAGAATTTTGGGAAAACCTTGCCCAAATCTTGAATCTTTGAGCTACTCCAATTATAGGCTAACACCCGGTCGAATTTATCACTCAAGAAGACAACCTCTTTGTACGGATGAAATCCAAGAAAATCGATAAAAGAATCCTTGCTCCTACTTTCTGGTTCGAGAACATTATCACTGTCAGAGTCCCACACAAATTTCTCTTCCAGTATTGCTTCGTTGCCCAGCGAGCGCGGGAGGAGGTCCGCGCGCAGCAGGCGGCGGTCGTCGACGACGCGTCGCCACGCCTTGCAGATGCAGCGGGACACGGCGAGGCCGCGTGGCGCGAGGCGACGGAGGACGCCCGCGAGCACGTCGTCCGGCAGCGGCGGCGCCAGGTCCATCCCCTCCTTGGCAATCGCCGGCGAGACAGCTACAGATCCGCTAGGGCTCAGCGCGAAATTGGGGACACGGGAGGCGCGCCATCTGCAGTGCGGCGCGGAGCTTATCCCGCCGCCGCGCCCAAGCTGCGGGTCCCCGGCTCTCCGCTCCGCAGAGTCGCCGCGCCTGGCCGTCCGCCCACCCAGTCCCTTGCACTGGTAGCGTGCCTCTCCTCTGGTGGATTGGTGAAGCCGTGAAGGGCCCTGCGCATCTGAGCGGATAAAGGCCATGGCCAGTATATTTTTGCGTGCCCTCCTGAAAACTCTTAACCAAACAACGGATTGGGCTTCAAACTTCATTTCCCATTCCGTAATTCCCCTCTCCATATCCCATCTGATATCCATATCCATATCCATATCCATATCCATATCTGATATCTCTACAAACGTCACCGGAAGGAAGAGAGGAGGCGACAAGACGGGGAACAGGTGTATATGCGGGTGGGTTAGTTTTTCAGTGAAAAAAAAAATGCACGTCGAGGATGTGCAAGAGAAACACATGTAAACGATAAAAAGTTTTCCGGCTAGACCCGTTTGTCAAATCGCGGCGGGTGTTTGTCAAATCGCGGCGGGTGATTTAGATCACGATGAGGTTTTCAACAAAAAAGGATATGTTCGTATTTACAAGTTATTTTCAAGACTACATAACTTTTGGTCCATCCTTCGCAAGGAGAACGACATGCTAAACCTCAAGTGAGCATGTCTTATGTTAGAAATGGCATCAATGGAAATCTTTTGTCAAATTTGAGTGGTGGTCTTTAATAGGCTTAGCGCTTAGTTTGGTGCATGAATATATTTTTTATTTTATTTTTCTATGTTTGCTCTTTGAGATCTTGCTGTTATCGGACGGGGCTAAACTTTTAATAAGGGGGGTTGTTCAGGACGCGGCTTATGCAGAGGCAAGAATAAAATTTTCTGGAATAAAAAAAAGAATAAAATCTTCTCCTTTTTTTTTCAAAATACATTGGAAATGCAGCTACCTTAGCTCAACATGCAAACACGAGCTATCGATCTCACATCAGAGAGAGGGAAGTGCTTTAGAATTCACAAACACCAAACGCCGATTGCAAATTAAAGCGCAGATACTTTGGCTGCGTTTGTTCGGTGTGCCCCCAATTACGAGTATACTCTCCTCTAATTGCAAATGTAAATCGTTCGAAGCATTATACGGTGGAAAAGACAACTTGAAAGCATGGAGTACCTCCTAGAAAATCAATTGAAATAAACAGTAAAATCCAGCGATGCACACCCTGGTCGACAACACAAACGGAGCAAGACAGCAGTGTTTCCCAATGTTCCAGAGCAGCAGCAGCAACCTTGCTATCAATCTCGCGCCATTAAAGCGTACCTCGCCCGCGAAAAAAAAGAGAGAGGAAAGAACAAAGAATCACAACACAATATCCCATTTTTCAGGCAGAGGCATCATCGTCATCAGCGACCTTGCTTTCCTCAGAACTTGGGGCAGCAGCATCATCAGCAGCAACAGCAACCTGGACTGATTCAGGATCCACCCGTTTCTCTTGTTCCGCCGCATGCGCGTCGCCACTCGGAAGATCATCCTTGAGTTCTTCGGCCGTGTCGTCGTGCTCGGTTGCGACCGAGGTCTGGACTGGTGCCTGCGGTGATCCCATCGTTTCCCCGGCAGCGGCAGCACTCGCTGCCTCCTCATCAGTCATGACCTTCTCTGCCTCTTGGTGGTAGGCCTCCCCATCACTGGCCTCCGCGTCCTGTGTACAAGAGGCAGCAAACGCAGCGATTGGTTACTCCGTTGCAGCATAGTACGAAGCTAGTTTTTGCATTTCTTGTGCTATTTTCTCATTCGAAAGGAAGCAGCAAGACAGCTGAAGCTCGGTGTCACTGTCACTCGAGTTGAGCACTCAAAGGGAATGAAGTTGCTTACCTGTTTGAGCAGGACGCTGAGGGACCTCCGGCGGCTGACATCGGCCTGGTCGACCTCGGCGGCGGCCACCGGGAGCACGTCGGCCTTCGCCTTCTCGTCGGCGGCCGCCAGTGGCGCCGCGGCGTTCTCCTCGACCAACGGCGCCTCGCCCTTGACCTTGAGGTCAGCCGGCTTCGTCGCGCACGCTCCCATGGCCAGAAGAGAAGAGATAGCAACACAACACTCACTAGAGGCGATAGATTAATCTACACTTGAGAAGAAGAGAGGAAGAGAACAGAGAACAAAATGTGTATATGTAGTGAGACTCTTGAAAGTGGGTGGCAGTACTAGTCTCTTTTCCGCCGGTCGGCCTCGGCATCAGCAGCGCTAGCTGAGAAACTGCAAAAGCGCGCGACTCTTTAAGGCTTTTTTAGGCGTCTCATCACTCATCAGGGCAGGGCGCCTCCGACATTCGTCCTGGGGCGCAGGACCCGGCTGGCCGGGCAGCTCGCGCTTTGCATTATACAACAGTGAAACAGCCTGCCCTTCCGGCCTTCTCCATGGCACATACTCTGGCTCAAGGCATGGTGGTGTAGTATCATATTGCAGTTGCAGACTTGCAGATGTACAATACTCATAACCGAAACAAAATGCTAGGTGTAGGAGATTGATACACCTCAGACATGCTGTACAGCTGCTGGCCATGCTGAGCATCTCCAGGGTAGCACCCAGAAGAATTTCTCTGATTCCACACCTGGGACGAGCCAATGCACTCTCTGAATTTCCATATGCAAAATACAATTTTTTTATTATTTTCAAATGGAAAAGACGGCGTCTTCAGTTCTCATTGCGTTGGTCCGTCAGGGGCCCTTCCAGGCATGATCACCACAAGTGGTTCCCTTGGTCGTTCTACTAGTATTCGGGTTGCAATCATGGTTCCTGTATCTGGATCAGAAAACATCCAGTCTGGCTGAGATGAATAGGCGATGATTATTTGTCACCATGATTGTTGCTCCAGACGTGTACTATCAGAAAACAAGCAGTTCGTTTCATGGTATGCATAGCTTCGCCATTTTTTTGGGTACACATCTGACACTGACAGCATTGTTTTTCAAAGACAATTTGTGAGCGACGACGAGAACTGAAGAACACATCGTCACCATATCTCCACTGCAGGGCGTTTCAGAAACACTTTAAACTTTTCGAGTCAAAACATTTCGATTGCTGGCAAAGCAGCAGTTGAACATGAAAGGCAGCAAGTTGCGAGTGCAGAGTGTTCATCGCTTTTCAACAAAACCAGGCACTCTTGTCGACCACATCAGGAAGTAGTATCAGGTTATTACACGGAAAAAGGCAGCACCCGCACCACACAGAGCATAGAACAGAGCACAATGTTTAGAATACAATAGCTCGAGCTGTAGTCCACCAATTGCCAAACCAAATGCAGAACCTGCTTTTAAAGACACCTACCTGATAAAAATGAACAGCTGATGCCGCTGCCCCTTTCGCTAGTCCAGAAAAGACTTTTGATATAACATGTTGCTAGGACACGAGCTGAAAACTGGTTTCTGAAACTGCACAGTACCTTATATCAAATCAAACGAGGAAAACTTGGTGAAGATAACTAACTCTTTGGTGATATTTTCACACAAATGATTTGGATACTAGCAGTTTGAGCCAGAAAAGACCCTCAAATAATTGAAGACATGTCATTATAAAAAAGAGGAAATGAACTCTGACCAACAGTGACACACAAATACACAACTAATCGAGATACATAAGAAAGTAATTATAAGTACCATATTCCAATCTTGCCCTAGAAGGCCAGAAAGCAACAGGTGGACCTGAAAGGAAGCAAGTACAAGCTCTTCCTCCCTTTTTCACAAAACCGCACTCTGTCTACCACACCCAGAACTACTGTCAGCTTATGATATACGAAGTGGACGCTACCAGCATGACAAATACAAACAGAGGTCAGAACATATTAAAATAACTGTAAGGTTCGACAAAGGATGCAGGCTTGTAGCCCACCAATGGTCAAAACAAGTGAACCTTGCTTTTAAATGGCCGCTCCAAGAGATGAATACCCAGTGCTGCACTAGTATACCTCAGTGGAAAAACACAGCATTTCTGAAACTTCACATTACCTTAGATCAAATCAACCTGGAAAGCATGGGTGAAGACAACAAACTCTTTGTTGATATTGATGTACTAATGGTATTCACAAAGCACACTGAGATAACACAACATCTTATCCTGCAGTAGCTGTACCTCAAATAATGGAAAGATATCATATAAGAATGGAACAGAGCAAACAGAACAGGAAATACACAACGCTCAATCAAAGCATAACACACAGCCAATCGCAGTGAGATGGATAACATGTGCAATGATAACATTAAGCACCATATTCAGATGTCAAACTGTAGTTATTGTAAACGCTTATAACACCATAAGAGTCATTAACTTAACCGATATGCAGTTAGCAAAGATGAAACTATGTAATGTGATATATCCTAATTTGTAAGCTACTGCAATAGACAAAAGGATTACCAGAAACTCCAAGAGTTCTCTAGCTCTACCACTTACATCCTGCAATCACTAAATCCTCGTTGGTTTGATGCCCATCTCAATTTCCTTAAGCCTCAGCTCCAGCTCCAATCGCTCATTTTTCAGCTTCATCTTTTCATTCTCCAGCTTCATTTTCTCCAACTCCCTGTCCTTCTCCTTGCTGAACTTCAGCCAGTTGAAATGCCTCTGCTCAATTCTCAGCATCTCTGATTTTATATCCAGACGTTGTCTCTCGATTTGAGCACGCATAGCACTTAAATTCTTCTCAGTAGATGGACCAGCAGATCCTTCAGAGGACATTCTGTTCACGTCAATGACCGCAACTTCTGACAGATGAGACCCACAATGTCCCTCCTCATGATCATGCTTCAGTTTCTTGGTGGCATGAACTCTGTGAACACCATGATCCTCAGCACTGGCCTCCAGATCGTCATTCAACTCATCATCCTCATAATCATCATCATCCTCAGAAAGCAACATCTGATCATCCTCTTCGTCATAGCCAAACAAGCACTTCTTTCCCTGTTCATCTGGAGCCCTAAGCGCCATCCGCAGGAACCTCTGAAGGGCAGGATCATCAAGCAGGCAGTAACGGTTCCTGTTGTGGTAGGAGCACATCTCCTCGTAGTGCAGATGCTTGGAGTTGAGATGCTTCTTGGCCTCCTCCCTAAGCTTCCCAGATAGGCTCACCTGGTCAAGGAGCTCGTGCTTCTCGACGATCTGGCAAGCCCTTCCCCGGCCGAGGATCTCGGTCAGCCTCTTGTACCTCTTGTTGAGGTCGTTGAACTTGTCCTCGCACTGCTGCGGCGACACCGCGAACCCCCTCTCGGCCATGGCCGAGGAGACTAGCCTCCACTTGCCCTTCCTCTTGAGCAGGGCGTGCTTCCTCCTCCCGCTGCTGGTCCCGTAGTCCGCGTCCACGTCCTCGTCGATGTAGGACACGGCCGTGACGAGCAGCTTGACCATGCCGCTGGTCCACTTGACCCGGTGCCACGGGGAGGCGGCCGCCGCCTTGCCGTGGTCGAGGTGGCCGTCATCGGCGTCCTCCTCGTCGCTCAGCGAGGCCTTCACCACATTGCCGAGCTCCGGCATCTGGTTCGCGGCGGGGACGGCGAAGACGCCCTGGTGAACCTGGACCGCCTGGGGTTGGGCGGCGAAGTGGAACGGCTGCGCCAGATCGAAGGGGCCCCCGCCTCCGCCTCCGCCTGGGATCAGGATTGGCGGCGGCAAATTCCCCTCCATCTCCGACGAGGAAACACCCACCCCAGCCTGACCGACAGAGATCCCGGATTTCAACCCCCTCCTGCGATGTTCACATGAACTGTGCTCGCTTCAAAGCCTCACCAAACTCGTGACTCGTGAGGAGATGGCAGGAGCCAGGTTTTTCTTGGGTGGAGGAGTTTCTTGAGGGATTTACAGGGATGGGAGGCGGAAAAGGCCAAAGCTTGCAGCTGGTCCTTGGGAAGGGGGGTTGCAAAATGCACGCGCCGCCGGCTGCTGCTGCAATCTGCCGCACGGCAAGTGTGTGAACGCCAAGAACAGATGGGGACCACGAGAAAGGGGAGTAATCCGAGGCAGGAACAGGATGATTATTAGCTCGAAATTGGATCAGCGCACGAGAAACACCCTATCCTCGACCACGAAATTCAAGAGAGCAGAAGAACTAGGATGTGGGCAAGGAAAAACCATACCGATGCGGCGAGGCTGCTGAACCAAAGGTTTGGGGGGTTTATTACGCCGATCCTACGGTCGCAGCAGCAGAAAAGAATGCATGCTCGATGGGAGGAGAGAGAGAGAGCGATTCGGGGAAGGAATCGCTGATTTTGGCAGAACCTGGCGGTAACAAAAGGAGGCCTCTCCACCTCGAGGAAATCGGAATATTTACATATTTAGCCTAGTTTAGTTGGCTAAATTTTAGAAATTGGGGTATCGTAGCATTTTCGTTTTTATTTGATAATTAATGTTTAATTATGAACTAATTAGGTTCAAAACGTTCATCTCGCATTTTCCAACTCAAACTGTGTAATTAGTTTTTTCGTCTACATTTAATGCTCTATGCACATATCGCAAGATTCGATGTGATGGCTACTATAGGACTTTTTGGGAAAAGTTTTTTGAATTAAATAAAGTCTTACCATCATTACGATGTGAGTGATTTAAAAAATACTATGTTAGTAACTCATGTGTCACTAACACAGTATAAGATAACATCTATAATAATGGTAAATATGTAAATACCCCGTGAAAATCTGGCATTACCAAGGGGATCACCTTCTTTGTTTCTCTCTCGGCTTAACCTCGGTTGGTGGCAACTGGACAACCCGAGTCCCAGGCAGGAGAAACAGAGACACGCGAGGAGGGGGAAGATGATGACCGATGATTGATGATGATAAAAAGGGTGGGCTCTACGCCGCGGTTAGCGTGGCTCGTAAGTCATACTTTTCCGGTTCGACAAATAGTATTTTTTTTATAGTAATTTAGTCCACGGTACTTTAGCGAACGGGTCACGCTGCTAGTAAAGAAATCGTTGATGAGGGCAGTCCAACGGTGTATCGACGATGGATTTTATCATCATTAAATGATTTATCATGTAGGTAAAATATTGATATGGTAATGTAATTAATAAAGGAAGAGAACAAAAA